GGTAAATATATACACGAAACATTTGTCATTTTAACCATTAAAAGTGTACAATTCATGGCATTAATTACATTAGCAATACTATGTAACCATTATCACTGTTTCCAAACTTTTTCATAACCACAAAGAAAAACTCTGTTACCATTATGCAATAACCCCTCATACCCCACCCCACAAACCCAGCGTCTAGTCTAGTAACCTCTTTTTCTTTCTTTCTTTTTCTTTCTTTCTTTCTTTTTTTCTATTTTGAGATGGAGTCTTGCTCCGTTGCCCAGGCTAGAGTGCAATGGCAGGATCTCAGCTCACTGCATTCTGCCTACAGGATTCAAGCAATTCTCCTGTCTCAGCCTCCCAACTAGCTGGGAATATAGGCACCTGCCACCACACCCAGCTAATGTTTATTTCTAGTAGAGACAGGGTTTCACCATGTTGGCCAGGCTGGTCTTGGACTCCTGACCTCAGGTGATCTACCCACCTTGGCCTCCCAAAGTGCTGCAATTACAGGCATGAGCCACGGCGCCTAACCAGTAACCTCCCTTCTGTGAATTTGCCTGTTGTAGGTATTTTACGTAAGTGGAGTCATACAGTATTTACCCTTTTGAATCTGGCTTGTTGTGCTTGGCGCAACGTTTCCAAGGTTCATCCACATGGTGGAATGTCAGAACTTGGCTGCTTTTTAGGGCTGGATAATATTTTGTTGGACGCATAGACCACCTTCTGCCTCTCCGTTCATCTGTCGATGGACGCCTGAGTGGTTTCCACCTTCTTGGATGGTGTGTATAATGCAATGAGAATATTGTTACACAAGCATCTGCTTGAGTCCCTGTTTTCGATTCTAGAAGTGGAATTGTTTGATCCTATGGTAATTTTTCAGTCAGCTTTTTGAGGAGCCACCAAACTGTTGTGAAGGAGTTCTGGTTTCTCTCCGTCCTCACCAACACCTACTGTTTTCCTTTTTCAATTATAGCCGTCCTGCGAGGTTTCAAATGATACCTCTCTGTGGTTTGGACTGGCATTTCCCTAATGACTGATGATGTCAAACGCCTGTCTATGTTGTTGTTGGCCATTTGCGTGTCCTTTTTGGGGAAATACAAGTCTTTTGCCTACTTTTTAATTGGGTTGTTTGTCCTGTTGTTGAGTTGTAGGAGCTCTTTATGTTTTTTTGGAAATTTTGGATTGTTTTAAGCCACTGTTTGTGGTAACTTGTTATGTGGCAGCATTAATACACTAACCCTATTATTAACTGTGAAATCAAGTTGTTTGTAAACTTACGGGAAGCTATCTGTTTTTTCTCTATTGTGGTATTGCCAGAACAGCAAGAACGATTGGTTCCTTGGAGGTTAGATAGAACTTTCTTGAGAACCTGGCTTACCTGATGTGTTTTTTTTTTTTTTTTTTTTTTTTTTTTTTTTTTTTTTTTTTTTGGAGGTAGATTTTTGACAACCTTTTTTCAAATTCAGATTTTCTGTGTCTTCTCAAAATTATGCTAGTGCATCTGTTGGTTACTTACAGAATTAGACGTAATAACGCTTATACAGTGCCTTTACATAGTGGCTGGCACATGGAAAGCACTCAGAAGAAGTGTTAGCTGTGCTGTTGTTATGAGATTTCTGTCCTTGTCCTGGAGTTCAGTTACCCAGCTGTGTCTAAGATGTGTCTTAGTCCAGTTTGTGTTGCTGTAACAGAATACCACAGACTGAGTAATGAGTAAAGACAAAAAAACGTATTTCTCACAGCTCCAGAGGCTGGGAAGCCCAGTGTCAAGCTGCCAGCATCTGACAAGGGCCTTCCTGCAGCACCCCATGGTAAAAGGCAGAAGGGAAATGCTGGGAGTGAGGACAAAGTTGTGCTTTGTCAGAAACCCACCCAGATGGTAACAAGCCCCCCTACTGCTGCCCGGTGGGACTGTCTGTGATGATGGAGTTGTTCAGAATCTGCACTGATCAATACAGTTGCCATTAGCCACATGTGGCTTTTAAGAACTTGAGTGACTAGTGTGACTGAGGAACCAAATTTTTAATTTTCCTGAACTTTGTTTTTTTGTTGCTGTTGAGACAGAGCCTCACTCTGCTACCCAGGGTGGAGTGCAGTGGTACAGTTTCGGCTCACTTACTGCAACCTCCACCTCCCAGGCTCAAGTGATCCTCCTACCTCAGCCTTCCAAATAACTGGGACTACAAGCACGTGCCACCATGCCAGCATAAGTTTTGTATTTTTTTTTTTTTTTTTGGTAGAGATGGAGTTTTGCCATGTTTTCTAGACTGGTCTTGAACTCCTGGGCTCAAGTGATCTGCGCACCTCTGCCTCCCAAAGCACAGGCATAAACTATTCATGCATGATCTGAACTTTAATTTTTTTTTGTTTTTGTTTTTTTTTGAGATAGAATTTTGCTCTTGTGGCCCAGGCTGGAGTACAGTGGTGCGATCTCAACTCACTGCAACCTCCGCCTCCCAGGTTCAAGCAATTCTCCTGCCTTAGCCTCCTGAGTAGCTGGGACTACAAGCATGTGCCATCATGCCTGGCTAATTCTTTCGTATTTTTAATAGAGATGGGGTTTCACCATGTTGGCCAGGCTGGTCTTGAGCTCTGTGTTGAGGTCACTACTTGTGAAGTCTCCTCACACGGGGCACCACTGTTGGGGTCACCACCTGCAGGGGTCTGTCCTGCAGACCCTGACTCAACTACAGTTGAGTAAAGTACACTAACACACAGATACAATGCCTTGCCAGCTCCACTGAGTGTCTGGGCCACTCACAGACTCCGTGGAGAGTGCTGTAAACAGTTGTGACTGCTGGTCCCAAGCAGCCCCTACTCCAGGCTTTTATTTAATATATCAAAGGACAAGGGTCTTTGGATAAACACCACTAGAGGGTAATTAACTTCTGTGGACCCCCTGAGTAGAAGGCAGTTAAGCACCTGCAGTAAATCAAAGGTCAGTCTTAGGATCATATGAGTAAACAAGCTAGCTAGGTAAACTCCTCTATGCTCCTTTGTATTTGTGCCTTAATCTCTCCGGCTCCTGCAGGGAGACGCTGGCTGCCTTCAGCCAGATTTATTACTGGAGCTTATGCAACCCCCCAGGCCTTCTAAGAGGCTCTGTGGCTATTATAACTAAAATTTTTCCCAGCAGCCTGAGTGAATCCTCACACCCCTGACCTCAGGTGATCCTCCCACCTTGGCCTCCCAAGGTGCTGGGATTACAGGCATGAGCCACTGAGCCCGGCTCCTGAGCTGTAATTTTAGTAGCTATTTGTGGATGCGCAGCTGGCAGGCACTGTGTGGAGCTCTGTCATATTCTGGAACATTCTATAGTATGAATATGTTTCTGCTTGTTTGTCCCCTGTTGATGGGCCTTTAGGTTGTTTTGAGCTTTTGCTTTTGCAAATAAAATTTCAAGGAATATGCTTAAATACGTGTTAGCAGCTGTGTGCTGTGATACTACACAGCTTTTTATTAGTGGTTGTATATTGTTCAAAACTGTTGCCATTCTGGTTTTTTGACCCTTCACCAAGGTGGAAAGATCACTTCCTCCAAGGCTGTCAGTTTCAAGGCTGCCACTGTGGTTTGCAGGTGTGCAGGTGACCCTGGGCTTGGGTTAGAGCTCAGGCAGTTCTGGCCTCCTCGCAGAACCTTTAGCATCACAGAGGTCTGCAGTGGCACGCCTGGCCACGGGAAGGACCTGAGCCCAGGCCCCAGTGGGATTAAACAATCCACAGTCCTGCACGTGCAGTGGCCACAGAGCAAGGTCTTCAAGGCCTGCGCATGTGTGACGGGTGTGTAGAAAACAGCACACTAAGCTTGAGGTAACCCAACTGCAAGGAAGGCAAACAATCAAATGAGAAAGGAAATGTGACCGTCGGTACACGCTGCATCGTGGCTGTAACTGTCCCGGTGTGCCTCGGTGGCTGTAACCGTCCCGGTGTGCCGCGGTGGCTGTAACCGTCCCGGTGTGCCGCGGTGGCTGTAACCGTCCTAGTGTACTGCGGTGGCAGGCAGGCATTAGGCATCTGTGCCCTTCATTCCCTGCTCTTATGGCTGTGGGTGCTTGACGTTACGTGGCAAAAGAGAGTTTGCAGATATAATTATTGTTATGGACCCTAAAATGGGAAGATGATCCTGGATTATCTGGTGGGCTCAATCTAATCTTTTGAGTCCTTAAAAGCAGAGAAGTATCTCCATCTGGGTTATTCTGAGAGATGCTGTGGAGGAAGTCAGAGGGACACAGAGACTCAAAGCGTGATAAGCATATCCAGCTGGCTTTAAAGATGGCGGGGCAAGGTGGCTCCTAGAAGCTGAAACTGACCAACAGCTCGCAGGAAACAGGGACCTCGGTCCTCCAGCCACCAGGAATTGGAACCTCTCAACACTCAGAACAGGCCTGCAAGTGGATTTTCCCCCGGAACCTCCAGAGAAGAGCCCAGGTCAGCCCACCCCTTGATTTCAGCCTGTGAACCCTGCTGAGCCTGCCACTCTTCTGGCTTACGGAACTGTGAGATTATAGATTTGTGTTGTTTTAAGCTGCTAAATTTGTGGTAATTTTTTATAGCTGTGGTAGAAAACTGATACACCACCTAATATCAGTTTATCCAAAAATGTGTAGAGGTGATTCTGTTTGGTGGGGCTGAGCACTAAAATAAAACAGAATTCTCACGTTGCATGACAGGAAATCAAAGGATTATATTTAAACCTTTTAAACATAGCAACATAGGCGTCTATAGAAATATGGCAGTAAATATTAAAAGAAACAGCGAGAAGTTTTATAAGTGATTGCTTTTAGAGAGCAGGAATTGAGAACGACGGGGCTGGGAAGGGACTGGCAGTTTTCAGTTTTAACCTTGGAGATAACCATATGATGTTTCAGTGCACATTCCTGTGTTGCTGCAATGAAAATGAAGGGGCCCCATCACCCAGCGTCAGATGCGCCCATCTCAGGGCCTGAGCAGGTGCGGCGGGGGCTGCCCCTGCATGCCAGGGCGTGCGGCACCCTCCTCTCTACTCCGCAGGGTGGAGGAGAGCAGCGGCAAGCTCCTGGAGTCGGAGAGGAAGCTGCAGGAGGAGCGGCACCGCACTGTGTTGCTGGAGCAGCAACTGGAGAAGACGCGCCTGGAGCCGGGGAGGGCGTCAGCCTCGCAGAGAGCGGTCCCCAGGACCAAAACAGGTAGGGGCCAGGGCAGGATGCCCCGTGCAGGGGTGGGGCAGAGTTGCTGCTAACAGAGGCGCCAGGCTGCTGCACCGTCAGCCCGTCAGCAAGCGTGTGGGAGGCAGAGCCTCCGTCAGGGTGGAGCTCTGCCTGTCCCCGCTGTGGGGTGTCCTCTTCCCTGGGCCTGCCAGTCAGAAGCAGGAGCCCCAGAGCTCCACTGGCTCACGTGGCCTTGGCCCAGCCACCTGGAAGCCCTCAGCATGAGGTGGCAGTGCTAGTGTCCCTGGCTACCTCCACCCCAGCCCTCAACGCTCTGTCCTGAGCTGACTTCATTCAAAGTGGCCGTGGGCAAAGCTGGTCTGCTGGGGAGGCCCACGCAGCGCCGGCTGAAGCAGGAGAGGAGTCCCTGTCTGCCTCCTGCAGCGGCCGCGCTGATAGAAGCAGGAAGTAGCCTCCCCAGAGGTCTGGGGACCCAAGCTCCCTGCTTTGTGGCCCCACTGTCCTCAGCATGCAGCTTCTGTCTCCTAGCCTACAGTGACTGCGGGAGCTTTCCCGGCAGCAGCAGGAAGGGGAGGAAGGAGACAAGCTGTCCTTACCGTTCAAGGTCGCACGTGTCACTTCCGCTCTCATCCCACTGGCCAGATCCTAGACAGCTGGGCATAGCCAGGGGCAGAGGGGTGCTAGGAAATGCTGTCCCTACCTGGAAGGTCTGTCGCTCTCACACAGAGGAAGGTGCGGTGTCCACACCAGCAGGACCCGCATCTTGTGGGGCTGGGGCAGGCTGGGGTGTGGGATGGCTGACTCCAGGGAGGGAGGGCCTCTGTATGGGGGGCTGGGCCTGCCTCCTTGGACCTCCCCATCCCACCCGTCCCAGCCCCTCCAGGCTCTGGAATGGAGGTCCTGCTGCCCCCACTGCACCACTCTCAACACTTCAGCAGCCCCCCAACCCCTCCCCAGCCAAGGATAAGCAGATCCTTGGTCTCAGTGCTCAGCCCGGATGAGGTCAATGTTTCCGAAGGGTGTGCCAGAAGTAGGGCACAAGGGGGTTGGGGCCACCTGCTTTCTCTTCTCCACCAGCAGGGCCAGGAGCTTCTGAGAATCCAGGCTAGAAGGGTCCCTGGGGCTTAACCTTGCTGACCTTCCTGGGCTCTTAGGAGTATGTCCCCTAGGAGTGTGGCTTCTCCGGGCTGGGGCCCACCTCCTGCAGGCAGCAGGACTTCCAGCCAGGCAGAGCTAAGCTACAGTCGGGAAGTTGCTTTGTTCCCTGCTGGACAGTGAGGGCAGCTGCCCGAGGGAAGCCGTGCCGCTGACCTCCGCTGCCTGCTGGCCTGTAACGTGGGCAAAGTAGTGCCCCTCTGGGGAGCAGAACACCAGCTCCCTGACTGCCCGGGCCCATCCGTCAAATTCGGAGACTGGATTTGCGATTCCGTCCCCATGCAGTCCCGCTCCCATAGGGGAGCCGGACATCTGAGCTGGAGGAACGGGGAGCAGTGTGGCCTGCAGACCCCGAGGGAAGAGCAGGTGTCGGTGCTTGGAAGCTCAGCTGGGGGCTTGGAGGAGCGGCGAGGCGGCAGGGAGGCCACAGGGACCCAGCCGCACAGGCCTTGAGAGCCAGTGGAATTCCCCCAGGCTGCCAGGGCTCCAGAGGCAGAAACGGTTATCCCTCTTTTTCAGGTGAGAAACCAGCTCAGAGAGGCTGATAGTTTGCCTGAGGCCTCTCAGCAGAGGGCAAAAGCCAGGTCTGCTGATGCCAGATGATTCACCACGGATCACACCAGCTGAGGCCTTTTCAGCGCTGAGCTTTTCTGAGGCTGTGATTTTGCCCAAGTTCACCACCAGCTGGGCTTTGCCTTTCTTTTTTTTTGAGAGAGAGAGTCTGGCTCTGTTGCCCAGGCTGGAGTGCAGTGGTGCGAGCTCGGCTCACTGCAACCTTCACCTCCCAGGTTCAAGCAGTTCCCCTGCCTCAGCCTCCCAAGTAGCAGGGATCACAGGTGCACACCACCGTGCCTGGCTAACTTTTGTGTGTGTGTATTTTTAGTAGAGATGGGGTTTCGCCATGTTGGCCAGACTTCTCTTGAACTCCTGAGCTCAGGCAATCCTCCTGCCTCAGCCTCCCAAAGTGCTGGGATTTCAAGTGTGAGCCGCCATGCCCGGCTGCTTTGCCTCCTTTTTGTGAGCATTCTGTATCCCTCAACCCCAGGACCCTGGTTCACTGGCTTCCTGGTATGAAGCTACTGGCCTGGATGGGGACCACTGGCATGAGGGCGTAGCTCAGACCCAGCTGGCGTCTCATTTTGAAAACGAATTACCAGGCTGGGCATGGTGGTTTACGCCTGTGATCCCAGCACTTTGGGAGGCCAGGGTGGGTGAATCACTTGAGGCCAGGAGTTTGAGACCAGCCTGGCCAACATGGTGAAACCCTGTCTCTGCAAAAAATACACACATTAGCTGGGCATGGTGGCAGGTACCTGTTGTCCTAGCTACTCAGGAGGCCGAGGCACAAGAATCACATTAACCCAGGAGGCGCAGATTGTCATGAAAGACTCTGTCTCAAAAAAAAAAAAAAAGAAAAAAAGAAAATCAATTACCAGAAACTTGTAAAGTATAAAGATGGAGACAGGGAAGTGAGGAACCAACCACCTTCCTTGGTACAAAGTGGGCAGAGTCAGGGTTGTAGCCGAGGCCAGAGCCAGGCAGAGGCGTGCGGAGGAGGCGCCAGGCAGGCTCGAGGGAAGCAGAGCTCAGGACTGCCCTGCGTCCGAAGGCAGTGGCGATGGGGGAGGAGAGGCAGGGTGCCCGCACAGGGCTGTGACCTCCTCAGAATGGCTGCTGCTGCCCCACAGGTCTGCTCACCTCCAACGCCAGGCACAACCCAGCCGGAAGCGAGAAGAAGGACACGTCCTCTGCCCAGCTCTCCAACACGCCCACAGACTCCCAAATGGAAGAGCTGACAACCAGGTGCCCCCTGCCCACCTTCCTGAAAGGGTGGGGTTGTCTGGGTGGAGGTGCCTCCAGGGGCATTGGGGCTGTGTCCCTCCCATTGCACTGCTGATGCATTTGCCCGGAAGGCTGGTCCTGCTTGGTCCTGGATTCCAGGCCCATACTTCAGGGACAGGTCCAGAGGACAGAGGGTCCGGCCCAAACGCTGATGACCCATAGTCCACGAGAAAGTTTATCAAGCATGAATCACTAAACTCAGTTTCTCACCACGTTAAACCTGTTAAGATCCCACACAGCCATGGGAAAGGACAGACAGGATCCTCTACCAATCAGAACTCAGTTTCCAAGCTGTCTTGAGGCGGCTTAGCGTTGCGGGGAGCCAGGCCCTTAGAGAGGAATCCACGGTATCCCCGAGTCTGTGAGAGGAGGGGATAGGTCAGAGGGACCCTGAGCCTGAAGAACAGCCACATTCCGACCCATGCATCTGTGTGCAGCTCTGGCCACACTGAGCACTGTTTCTTGTGGTCCAGGCTGGCCGTCCAGGAGGAGGAGAATGAAATGCTAAAGGCTGCCCTGGCCAGTGCCCTTCAGGGAAAGGAGGAGGACTTCCGGATGTACCACGAGATCCTGGGCCAGGTGAAAAGTGTCTTCCTGCAGGCCCTGCGGCAGCAGAAGACGGACAAGCAGTAGGTGACAGCCCAGTGTCGGCCTGGCCAGGGGGGCAGCCTCGGGTCCCCCATAGCCACACACCCCAGCTCCATCTGCTCCGGGAAGCCAGCCCAGGGCAGCCAGCTCAGCTGCCTCCACCAGAAGAGGCTCCTTCAGGATGACGAAAACCGACACCTCAGGCCAGGAGGGCAGAAGAGAAGCCCTGGAGGGACACTGAGAGACCCTGGGCCAGCCGGGCTACAGCAGCGGAGAGGCACGGTGGCCCGCTGGCAGAGGCGAGAGCTCCGGGACAGCAAGGCGGCTGTGGACGGACGGACGCGTCCCTTGGGCAGGTGCTCACCACCCTCGTCCTAGGCACCCGCCATGGATACCCCGTGGCCCCACACAGGAGAGCCCTTGGTTACTCTGGCTGGGCACGTCCCTCGCCACTCAGCCCACCCTGTCCCTCACCCCGTCTCGGCTCCATCTGTGCTGTCCACGCCCTGCACAGACTTGGGGCACGGTGTCCTCAGCTGGATTGTCAGGCGCCCTCAGGTTCTGCCCCAGACGCAGACCCTCGGACTTGTAATAATAAGTATTTTCATAGTCACCGCAGCTCCCAGTGAGTAGCATCTGCTGCGGAAGCCTGGCCCCACCTAGTCCTCTAGAAACCTAGGGGATTGTCACCCTGTTTGACAGATGAAGAAACTGAGGGTCGCAGAAGCTGAACTAATATTTAACTGCAGTCCACCTGACCCAAAACCAGGGTCTTGTCGTTGAGAGGTTAGCCAGGGTCGGCGTGCCCACCCGCCACTGGGCAGCCCCACCCCAGGCAGCTGCCCCGAGCACCTCCTCCTGCTCACCAAGACTGCAGCTGGTGGGTGCTGGTGGCAGAGGGCCGGGCGGGGCTCGGCTGGAGCTTCAGGCAGCGGGGTTTTGAGGCAGTGGCTCCAGCTGAAGGTACAGTGCACCTTCCTCGCCACGGTGGTCTGGGAGGGCTGCTGCAGGGGACCCCGAGGGTCTGCAGGCCTCTGTGTGACTGTCACAGTGTTGCCCTTTCTCAGCTGTAACTACGCCATGACAGCTACAGGAATGAGTGTCTCCACAGAGGGTCCCCCATAGCAACACACCCTAACCTCAGATACCCCGGCCACACACGTGCACCCAAAGGCCCACACAATGCTGCAGAGGCACACAAATACGATTCAGGAGCGTGCAGCTGTGCACACACACAGGCCTCTGCATGTGCACACCACGGAGAGCCTGGTGCAGAAGAGCACACACGTGGCTGTGGACACATTCCCACAGGTGAAGGCACAGCCACGTGTGTGTTTCTTGTGCAGGGACGAACAAACACCGGTGCCCCTACTGTGAAAACACCCCCTTCCCCAGGAAAAGCCACGGGGCTCCTGGAACCTGTCTTCTCAGCCCCTTCCTTGGGGGTGGGCTCCGGAGGGACTTGGTGCCAGCTGCCACTCCTCAGGAAGCCTCTGACCCTGCGTGGAGCTCCTGCAGCCAGGTAGAGCAACGGCAACTGAGATGAGCTGGTGATTCTCGAGGGGCCCTAGGCGTCTCTGGGAAGGAAGAGTTTTTCTCTGGTTCCTTGTGAAGGAAAATGGCCAGGCAGAGAGTCAGGAGAGAGAGGGTCTGTGCTGGGAGGGGACAGTGTGTGACAGTGAGGGGTGGGCCTCAGGGATGCTGGGTCTGAACACCTTCTCCTGCAGCACTGGGGAGCCCCGGAGGGTGGTGAGTGTGTGGGGTGCAGGCTCCGGCCTCAGGGCAGCTCAGGGAGTGAGAGGCAGGTGCAGGACCAGCCGTTTTTCCTCAGGGTCACCTCAGGGAAGTGCAGAGGTGGCGTGCCCTACACGCCAGCCTTTCCAGGGTGGTTCTGCTGCCCTTCCTGGGCTAGATCTGAGAGAGGAAGGGGGGTCAGTCATGGAGTCTGAACAGGTGGGGGTGCCTGGGGCATGCTTTTGTCCCCACCTACCAGCTGTGTGGCCTTGGGCAAGTAGTGTAACCTCTCTGATCCACCACATTCTCATCTATAAAATGGGGACAATAAAATCCTCCCTGGGGGGGCTGTTATTAACATACGTGTCAGTGGCCCAAAGTCGTTTCTGTAATTATTAGTTCTCTGTTTATTTCTGTACAAGGGACATGAAGCTATAGATTGATTTCAACAAAAGTTATATAAGAAAGGAGAGAAAAACTGCAGATGGGCAGGCACGGGAAATCTTGTTCGTACGAGCTTGGGCAAACCGATTTCAGCCAGCTCTGCGCATAAAGACGAGTGTTCTGTTTCCAGACTGTACGGGCGACCTGGAGAGACTGCTGTGTGCCGCGTGTGGGGGTCCCTGTCACGCCTGCCGGCGCCTGCCACCAGGCACCTCCCCACCCCAGCTTGCTTAGATCAGGTCTGCTGCGTTCCCTCGTGGGAACCCTCTGCAGGGTTCACTGAAATGAAGCACCTGGTGCTGAGAGCAGCTGCCGGCACACAGTGAGTGCTCGGCAGACATTCGCTCTCCGACTTCCCTCTACCCGCTCACCAGAACTTGAGCAGTTCCTCTGCCCCAGGCACAGAGGAGCCACGGTGAGGCAGGCACAGTCCCTGGCCTCCAGGAACTCCCAGGTCAGCTGGGGAGAGACACATACTGGTCACAGGTCACCATTCCTTCCAGCCAGTCGGCCAGGCCGTCTGTGAGTGCCAACAGCATGTCAGCCTCTGCGGGCCTGGGAGGCGCCTGGAGGTGAATCTGACTTGTTTCCTCCCTCCAGGGGTTCCCAGTCCAATCAGAGGCATGGGGGATGCCGTGATGGAGCTGGCTGCCCCCTGCGTCCCCACCGCGTCCCTGTGGCGGTTCTCAAGCTCCCAGCCTCCTTGATCAGATCTGGGTGTAGAGGGGCTGACAGGGAGCCCTGTGTCCTTCACACCTCCCTGAGCAAAGGAGCAAGGAAGGTAAAGGGAAGGCGGGGAGAGCCTGCGAGAAGGATTTTCAAGGAAAGGAGGTGGTCAAAGGGGCCAAGGATAGGGACCCTGAGAAACCTAACCCACGTGAGCCAGGCGCAGACCCAGGTAGCAGGCCTGTCAGGTTAGTGCCAGTCCGCTCCCGGGCAGCACATCTGTCCCTGGCACCCTGAGGATGGCTTCCCGATCCCTCAGGCAGGTGGGCAACAGGTGGGTGACCGAGACGCCAGGGGCCCTGGCCAGAGCCGCGAGGCAGCAGCTGGAGGGGAGAGCGAAGGTGCCTTGGCGGGTTGAGGGGCAGGGCTGTTCAGCGGCAGCATTGCCTCACGTGAGGGCGAGGGCTCTCCCTGGCACACCCCGGGCAGGTGCTGCAAGTCTCAGTGCTCAGGTTCCAGCACTGACAGGTCAGACCTGGCCGAGCAGTGGGTGTGGTTTGGCCACTGTCCCCATGGGGGCCTCTGGACAAGGTTGCACCTGGCTCAGGCTTCCTCAGACACACTACATTGCCACTGGGCCCCTCACTTGCTCCCAGGAGCCCAGGACAGGGTGACCTCCAGCGGGTGTGCTCCTCTGGGCCCCCCACAACTAGGGGCCTCAACCAGCTTCTCCTCTCTACCCCTGACCAGCCCACAGCCAGCTCTGAGCACGAAGAAGTCTGCCCACCTTCTCCCACTGGTGTGCCTTTATATACACTATCTCTACGACATCCCTCAGCCTTGCACACACATATACACAACACACACATGCACAGAGTGCACACATCACACATGTACGATGCATGTGCACACACAAGCAATACACACAGCGCACACACTCAGCACACACATACAACTGTGAACAACATACAACCCAAAACCACACACAGACTCCACACACAAGGTCAAACACAGTTGCACACACACTTGCACACACAGAGGATACTTTCCGACCGTTTTTATTTGGAGCAACAAGCAACCAAAAAAGCACTGAAAAAAGACTCGGGTTTGAGAGAATGTCCCTACTCCCCACGGTGTCTTTCCCAGGGCCCTGGTGGCATTTGGGAGGTGGCCCCAGGGCTAAGTGTGGGTCTTAGCTCAGGCAGCTTCCTGCCCCTCATGTGGGCTGGCCTCGCCAGGTGCCCTCCCCAGCCACCCTCACACAGGTCAGATCATGGGGCCTCCCTAGCCCTCCACCCCTTGCCTTTCCTGCCCGCCACACTCCCTGCAGACCCTGCTGTGCACGGGTCACCCAGGAAACCCTCACTGCTGTGTGTGAAACCAGCCTCTCTGGGCCTCGGGGGCCAGGCTGTCTGTGGCTCTCTGTTTATGAGCGAGGCCCCTGTCATGGAGTGAGTCACCGGTACCCCTGCCACCGCTGTGAGGGCCAGAGCCAGCGGTATGCCCATCTGAGGGTCTAAGGCCCAAAGATGTAGGTCACACCAGCTCAGGTCAAGTCAATTGGCTGAACCCGTGTTCTTAACTTGGGTCAAACCACCCTGTCTGCTTCCTCCAGCCTCGTGAGGGTCCTGGTGTGGGTGCGCAGGCTTCTCACCCTACAGGGCGGTCAGTGCCAGGAGCTCACGAGGCTTCCTCAGGTACCAGGTTCTTCTCCCACCTGCAGACGGTGGTGACGCCTTCCCTGTGAGCAGTGGCGACACAGAAGTTAATTCCTGTACGTCCTGCCGCTGTGATTAACTTACTCCTAATGACCACTGACCCTTCCTCTAGGAAGCCCCCTTGAAGTCCCAAGTCTGGCTCGGGTACCGTTCCCTCCCTGGTGCTGGCCTCTCTGGTGGCCATTACCCACCACGGCGTTAACGCAGCCTTCACTGTGCGGTGGCCAGCACTCACGCCTCTCGGTGCCCTCTGTGTGGCGTGTGTATGTTGGGAGTCTCCTCGCTGTCCTTCCTGGGCCTGGTGGGTGGGAATCAGCGCCTCCTTCCTGCCTCCTCAGCTGAGCCTGAAGCTGGGGTCACAGGATCAGCAGGTGCTCCAGGAGCTGTCCTATGACTGATCACAGCCACGGAGCTCCTCCCTCCCCCCAGAGCCTCCCCAGGGCACACACGTGTGCAGGCCTCCGTAGACGGCACAGACACACACAGCTCCCCATGACTCGGCCTCATCTGAGGGGCACGGTCAGAGGTTCTTAATCTCAGGAGCATCTTCAGGATGTTCCTCCCCTCAGGTGTCCAGGGCTGATGCTCCCTTCCAAAGTGAGGGCCCTGTCACAGCAGGACCCCCAGTAGGTCAGGAGCACTCCTGTCTTCCTGTCTGCCTCCATTCTGTCATGGAGAGGATGCCAGCCATTCTAAGTACCCGAAAGCCTTGCCAAGTGACCCTGCTGGCACCCTCCATCCAGGACACTCTGTATGGGACAAGGCTGGCCTGTGGGGACCCCTCTCAGCCACATGTCCCATGCCACTTCCAGTCCCATCAGGCAAGTCAGCCCTCCCTCAGGCACTGATGTGTGGCCAGCCAGGACTCACTGTGTAATGAAAAGGATCAGGGTAGGGGGCAAGACAAGCCTGTCCTGGGATAGTCCCTTGGGATAGCCCCTAGGAGGTCTTAGGGGGGCGGCTGGAGTCCCTGGAGCCCAGGTGTGAAAGTGTGTGCACGCTGTGAGCGTGTGTGGCTATGGTAGGGACAGGGCTTACAAGCCTGGAGAGGCTGGTGGGGCCACCAGGAAGTCTTCCTGGACGAGGGAAGTCCTGGGTAGCAGTGAGAGAGGCACAGGCTCTCTAGGAGCCAGGGGAGGCAGGCTGAAGAGAGACCCAGGTGTCCCTGTCTGAGCCTCTGCTACTGGACACCCTCCCCCCAACACCCGCCCCCCTCCAAGGATCCTCCCTTCGGCTCCCTGTGGCCACAGCACTGCAGTGCTCGGCTCAGCTCCACTCTGCTCGGCTCCACTTCAGGAAGGCCACCTCCTCCTCCCCTCCTCCTCCTGCTGTCACCACTCACCGCTCATAACCTCGAGGGGGTGGGGACCCCAGGGCTGGACACACCCCACTGTGGCCCTAGAGCTCAGCCTGTCGGACAGACGGACAGTTGGACGCAGGACCCCAGAGCCAGAGGCGGGCAGTGTGCCAGGGTCCCTCGCGGACTCCCCAAGGTCAGTGCCAGCTGGGGATGCAGCTACTCTGGGGCTCTTGAGACTTGCGGGGCACACCCCAGGCCCTCAACCCAAATCACAGGCTCCAAAGGGGGTTTATCCCAAGGGCATCAGGGGCAGGCAGGACCGGGGAAAGGGGATGCCCCTGTGTCCACTGGCCGGCCCCCATCCGGGGGTCTATCAGGAGAGGCCCCAGACTGGGGGCCAGCTCCTCACAGAGGCCTCGCTGGGGACACCCCGCGCCGGCCATGGGGAGCTAAAATTGGAAAGTGGAGAGTGGGAGGCAGCTGACAAAGCTCTTTCTCAGGCTCTTCACCAAGCTCCAGTTTCAAGCTCCTGCTCTATTAACCTGATCCCCAGGGCCTCTCCACCCCTACCCAGCTGGTGAGGAGGTCCCTCCACCCTCGGGCCGGCAACCTCTGCTGTGGGCAGGGACAGTGGTGGTCTTATCTCACGCCAGATTCCAGAGGGGCTCACAGAGAAACCCGATCCTGAGGGGAGGTGGGCAGAAGCCTGTCCCAGGTCTGCTGTGTGACCTTGAAAGGTCCCTGCCCCTATCTGGCCCACGACCCTTCGGTCTGTATGAGGAGACTGCTGACCTCAGGGGCCTGGGGAGATGGCTGCAGGACTGGGAATTTGGGGGAGGATCGAGGGTGGGCAAAAGGGCCACATCAACCACCTCTTGGCCCCGTCAGCCCAGGAGGTGCCTGGTCACGTTATCCCTTTAATTTGCATGCTGAGTCGGTACCCGTGGGGTCCTTAGGAAGCCCCTGGGCCAGGCCGAAGCAGGGTAGGAAGGGCAGAGGTGCCAGCTGAGGCCACAGGGAGGCCCAGCAGGACTCCAGGGGACCAGCCAGGCCCTGGCGGGAGGGAGTGGCCAGGCTCCACCGGGGCCTGGTTCTGGTCAGCACCTTGGACAGCGGCCAGCACCCTCTCGGACTCCTGCCTGGCCCCGCCTCGCCCCACATCCACCCATCCAGGGCACCTCCCCAAACGGCACAGCCTCCAGCCGGCGCCCAGGGCCTGGATCCACGGGGTGCTGAGGGTGTGGGCAGTGTGGTCACGGACACGGGCAGGGCCTGGGTAG